GCGTCAAACGCTTTGCACATCACAGAGAGGAGGCTTTCGGGGGCCTCTTGCGGGTCGGGGTGGCCTCGGGCGGTCTGTCGGGGGCAAGCTGGGGGCCTGGGGCTCTCGGGGGGCCCACCACATAGTTTGCACCACATGTACTGAACAACATAGGATACGCCATGTAGGTGGCACCACACAAGTCGCACCAATAGATTGCCAGTAGAGGCTGCATCACATAGATTTTCGCATCTGAACAAAATATCGGGGTCAACCCCCCACAAGACTTCGCGGCACGCCTGTGTGTATTGCAATGTACGTACGAGTCTGCCCCATCGCCCATCCGAAATATGAGTTCATACCATCACAGGCAGTCCCATATCGCCCTCCCCCCACATCCCGTGCAGAAAATGGCCTTCGCGCACACTCGTTTATCAAGGACCACCCGTTGCCAAATGCACACGCGAAAACGGAGAGGCGCACTGCAAAAAACGATACCAAACCTACACGCGCGCGGCGTCGCGCGCGCATGCCGATATCCTTCAAAAACCGTAGGTTTCTTGAGGATTTCTTTAAAATTCGAGCACCCCGGGATCCTACGCTTCAAAACAACCCAAGAAACACAGCTTCACAACAAGAATGTTCAACAAAAGTTTGCGCTCGGGTTTTGGCGAATCTTGCAGGAAACCATAACTGTGCAACCTTACCATACTTTGTCACCGAACGGGCCTCCCGCGCGCGCATGTCGAAATCGGTCCGCCCTTGCGCGCGTGCTGCCGCAAGAACCCTTTTTGCAAAAAGACGAGAAGAAGTGCACGCGCGCGCGTCGTTGCGCGCTCGCCGAAATCGTCCAGAACCCTTTAGGTGTCGTCGCAAGGAATTCAAAATCGACTGCCCCGAAAGCATGTTTTTCTTAATATATATATATATATATATATAATAAAAAAAAAAAAAAAAAAAAAAAAAAAAAAAAAAAAAAAAAAAAAAAAAAAAAAAAAAAAAAAAAAAAGTGTTCAAGCACGCCTGCGCCCCCGCGTTCCTGCGACTTCTTAATGAAACCATGGCCTTTTTTTTCAGCATGCTCACTGAATTCTGCCAAACGGGCCCCTCACGCCACAGGCCGAAATCATTCGAAAGCCCTTGCACGCGCGCTTGGCGGGCACGATCCGTGAGGAATGTTGACATGCGGGTCACTCTCGCGCGTCGGCCGCGCGCGCATGCCTAACTCCCTCCAAATCCTTCATCGCCGACGCGAGGGCGTCGTCATCGTCGCCAGCGTGATCAAAATCGGCGCCGTCACTGGCCTTGCCGTCGTCGGTGTCACCATTGTCACCAGCATCGTCACCAGCATCATCGCGTCTACGGTTGTCGACGTTGCCATAATACCGCGCCCGCCCAACTCGCCGACTCGCACTGAAGTGCCTGCTGGGAACTGCCCAGCGGTCAGCGCCACCGCGGCCAAATCGGCAGCGCCAAACTATCTGGCCGCTGCGCGCGTGAGCATGCGCGGACTCGCGCGGCCGCGGAAATGCACCAGCCAACTCCAAGCACTCATCGCAATCGCCGCCGCAAGGGTTTTGCAAACCAAGTTGCGGGTGGGTGGTGGGATGATTGCGCGAGCAGTGGAGTGGACAATTCACTGCGAACAGAACTGTCTTCTCCTTTCTAAGAAAATAGGTTCTACCACCCTTTCCCACGCGGACTTAAAGACGCCCCGCTTCGCATTACAATTGGTATGTGATTCTGCCCCATCGTCCGCCCGAATTGTGAATTCGCACAATCCCAGGGGGGGCGGTATCGCCCGCCCCCACGATCCTCTGCAGAAAATACCATGCGCACACCCGTTCATCAAAAATCATATCTTTTCAAGAACCCGTTGGACGAAGTGCACACGCGCGCGTCGTCGCGCGCGGATACCGAAATCCTTCAGAAACCTTCGGTTTCGGAAAGATGTCAAAATCGAGTGGCCAAAAAACATGCCAAAACACTTGGTTTTGCTTCCCAACAAAAAAGCTTATGCGCGCGTTCTTGCGAAATCTCAAGAAAACCATCGGATGTTCAATATTTTCCACACAACCAAAAAAACACTACCAAACGGGCTTCGCGCGCGCATGTCTAAATCGTTCGAACGTCCTTGCGCGCGTGACGTCGCGAGAATCCTCTGCGAACAAAGAACAAAGAGCACGCGCGCGCGTCGTCACGCATGCCAAGATCATTCAAAAACGTTCGGCTTCGGAAAGGTTCCAAAATCGAGTGTCCAAAAAAAACAAAAATACAAAAGATATACATATATATATATATACATAAGGTTTCGCAAACCGGATGTTCAACAAAAGCGTGCGTGCGCGCTATTGCGTCGTCGTCGTCTCGTCGTCGTCGTCGTCGCCGTCGTCGTCCTCTGTCTTTCCTCGTCGTCGTCGTCTTATTGGAGTCGTCGTCGTTTCCGTCGTCGTTGTCGCCGTGGTCGTCCTTCCTCCTCCCTCGTCGTCGTCGTCGTCGGCGTCGGCGTCTCGTCGTCATCCCTCCTATTTCGTCGCCGTCGTCGTCGTCGTCTTCCCTCCTCCCTCGTCGTTGTCGTCGTCGGCGTCGCGGTCCCCCCTCCTTCTTCGCCGTTCGCGTTGTCGCCGTCCTCCCTCCTCCCTCGTCGTTGTCGTCGTTGTCGCCGTCGTCGTCCACCTCCTCCCTCGTCGTCGTCGTCGTATTCGTTGGCGACGTCGTCGTCGTCGTGGTCTTCGTCGTCGTCGTCGGCGTCGTCGGCGTTCTCGTCGTGGTCGTCGTCATCGTCGGCGCCGTCGTCGTCGTCGTCGTAGTCGTCGTCGTCGGCGTCGTCATCGTCGTCGTCGTCCGCGTCGGCGTCGTCGTCGTCGTCGTCCGCGTCGGCGTCGTCGTTGTCGTCGTCGTCGTCGAAGTCGTCGGAGTCGTCGTCGGTGTCGTCGTAGTCGTCGTCGGCATTGTCGTCGTCGTTGTCGCTGTCGTTGTCGACATCGGTGTCGTTGCCAAGTGCCATGTGTTACCTACCGTCACGGTCTCAAGAGGTCTTGCGACCAAGTTGCGGGTGGGAGGGTGGGATGTTTGCGCGAGCAGTGGAGTGGACAACTTCAAGTTGAGCAAGTGATTGATTCTCCTTTCCAAAAGAAGAATAGACTCTACCTCCCCCCCCCCAGAGTTAACGGTACACCTCTTTCGTATTGCAATTTACATATGACTCTGCACACTCGTCCACCCGAAATATGAATTCATACTACCCCAGCCAGGCCAGTGTCGCCCCCCCCGCCATCCTTTGCAAAAAACGATGCGCGCACACTCATTCATCAAAAATCATGCTTGTCCAAGAACCACTTCCAAAAAATAGGACGAAGTGCACACGCGCGCGTCGTCGCGCGCGCATGCCGAAATCCTTCAAAAACCTTCGGTTCCAGAAGGAGTTCACAATCGAGTTTCCAAAAACATGCCAAAACACCGGGTTTCGCAACACTGATGTTCTAAAAAAGCTGACGCGCGCGCTCTTGCGAAATCTCCAGGAAACCGTAGGTTTTTCGAGATTTAAAAAACAAAACAAACAAAAAAAAAAAAAAAAAAAAAAAACGGCTTCGCGCGCGCGTGTCGAAATCTTTCGAAAGCCCTTGCGCGCGTGCCGTCGCGAGAACCCTCTGTAAAAAAATGACGAAGTGCACACGCGCGCGTCGTCGCGCGCGCATGCCGAAATCCTTCAAAACCCTTCGGTTTCGGAAAAGCTTCAAAATCGTGTGTCCAAGAAACATACAAAAATACAAGGTTCCACAACACAAATTTTCAACAAAAGCGTGCGCGCGCGCTCTTGCGTCGTCGTCGACGTCGTCGCCGACCCCCCTCCTCCCTCGTCGTCGTCGTCGTCGCCGTCGTCGTCCTCTGTCTTTCCTCGTCGTCGTCGTCCTCTTTGGCATCGTGGTCGTTTCCGTCGTCGTTGTCGCCGTGGTCGTCCTTCTTCCTCCTCCCTCGTCGTCGTCGTCGTCCGTCGTCGGCGTCTCGTCGCCGTCCCTCCTATTTCGTCGCCGTCGTCGTCGTCGTCGGCATCTTCCCTCCTTCCTCGTCGTTGTCGTCGGCGTCGCCGTCCTCCCTCCTTCTTCGTCGTTCGCGTCGTCGCCGTCCTCCTTCCTCCCTCGTCGTTGTCGTCGTTGTCGGCGTCGTCGTCCTTCCTCCTCCCTCGTCATCGTCGTCGTCGTCGGCGTCGTCGTCGTCGCCGGCGTCGGCGTCGGCGTCGTCCTCGTTTTCGTCGTCGGCGGCGTCGGCGTCGTCGCCGTCGTCGCCGCCGTCGTCGTCGTCGTCGTCGTTCTCGTCGTCGACGTCGTCGTCGTCGTCGGCGTCGTCGTCGTCGGCGTCGTCGTCGTCGTCGTCGTCCGCGTCGGCGTCGTCGTCGACGGTGTCGTCGTCGTCGTGTTCTCGTCGTCGTCGTCAAAGTCGTCGGAGACGTCGTCGGTGTCGTCGCAGTCGTCGTCGTCGTCGGCGTCGTCGTCGACGTCGCTGTCGTCGTCGGCGTCGGTGTCGTTGCCAAGGGCCATGTGGTACCTACCGTCACGGTCTGAAGAAGTTTTGCAAACCAAGTTGCGGGTGGGTGGGTGGGATGTTTGTAAGAGCATGTGATGGGTCAAATCATGGGTAAAAGTCAGTTGCACCATATAGATTGCTCCATCTACATGGCACAACATAGGTTGCACAACACAGATTGCAGAATATATATTGCAATTCCTAGAGTACACAACTAACATGGAAACACATAAATTGCACCACATATACTGCACCACATAGAGCGCACGACTTAGATTGCACCACATAGATTGCACAACATAGATTGCACCACATATATCGCACTACATATTACATCACATAGGTTGCACCATATAGACTGCGCCACATAGATTGCACCACAAAAATTGCACTTCTAGATTGCACAACACAAATCGCGCAACAGATATTGTGCAACCTAGAGTGCACAAGAAAGATTGCACAACATAGATTGCACCACATGCATGGCACCACATATATTGCACAAGAGATACTGCTAGAAACACAGTGCTTGGGGTGGGCGCTGGCTAACATGACTGTAATATGGAAAGTGCTTTGTCCTTTGGAACACGGCAAACGTCGAGCGCGCCGCCCTCCAACCGCCCCCGACACACTGCCGTACCTCAGCCGGCGTGGAAAGAGTTCTGGTGCGTCACGGAACTCTCGGAGCCACCCAGGCTGTCCGTGGCGGCCATCAGGGTGCTGGAGCCCCGCCTTACAACGTCAGATGGTGATGGCTCATCCTTCGAGGCCAAGAACGACGACGACGAACGCCCCACGGGGCTGCTACTCAGGAGGTCTGAATCGAGAGCCTTCGACTGATCCACCCCTTTGCTCCGGGCATCCTTGAAAAGTGCAATCGCGCCCCAAGATGCAATTAGCGCGGCACCCGAAACCTTCAATCGATCAGTCTCCTCGTGCAGAAGGGTAATTTGGAACAGATTCGCGAAAACCACCTGGATGTAATTCATGACAGTCGCCTTGCCAGCTGATTCGCGTTGCAATCCAATGTTCATGAGGATCTGTCCAAAGACGGATAACAAAGCTAATGGAATCATCAAAAACCACTCGCTGACCCTGTCTGGTACGACCCAGGGCTCACCAAACGCCAACATGAAGAATGGGCTTGTGAATATGCCTACAATTGCAAAGTAGTTCGTGGATACAAGCGGATTCAGATCCTTCCGATAGCGCAAGAGGATGGAAACGGACGTGGCAAACATTGCGGAGCATAACGCGCCCGCTACTCCAGCGACAGGCATTGGAACAGGATGCGCACCAAAATATGTCATGATGAAGCTAGGCTGGCTGACCAAAACCACCCCCACCATGCAGAGCAGCGAGCCTGCAAGATCAAGCAACTCCAGGGGTTCGTTCAGGAGGACTGCCGCCACGATCGCGGTGAGAACTGGGCTTGTGTAGGTGATAACCACTGCGTCACCAAGAGCCAACTGTTGGATCGAGAAGTAGTAGGTACCCATGAAGAAGAAGCCAGCTGTTCCTCGAAGTATGAAGAAAAATCGCTGCCCTGACTCACCCCACGGGTAGATCCCCCGATACCACATCAACCCGAGTGTTGAAGGGAACATGATCACGGAGCGCCAAAACACAAGCTCAAACGGGCCAAACCGTCCTAGTAGCTTCACTATGAGAGCCATCAAAGCGAAGAGAAACGAGCTTGCGATCATTGCCAAAAGTCCAGAGGTCTTTCTCGGTCCAGTTGCATTGCTCGTGCCTGGCATTGCTCCTGCAGGATAGCTCCTTCTCAATCGTACTGACGCCAAGACTTGCTACAAAGCCTTGATCCAAAATGGCTACGGAAGGGCTATTGGAAGCAAGTTGGGACGTCCTCTTGGGAACCGCCTGGGGCCCTCTTGCTCCTGGGGGCATATTGGGGCCTGTGTGGACCCTCTTGGAGCCCTCTTGGGCCGTGTTGGGGACTCTCTTGTGCCGTGTTGGGCCCTCCTTGGGAGCTCTTGTGCCGCCTTCGAGCGATCTGGGAGGCCCCTGTGGCCGTCTTGGGCCATCCTTGGCTCAAAACAGCGAGAATAATAGAACCATTGAAAACATGTGGCAACAAACCAATTAGGCCTCCTGGGACCGTCATCGGGATCCTCTTGGGCCGTCTCGGGGGCGTCCTGAGCCGTCTTCGGGCCATCTTGGGATATATTGGGGCCCACCTGGAGTCCTCTGAGGCTATCCTAGGGCCCTCCCGAGCCTCTTGGGGCAGTCCTGGGGCCTCTGGGACCTCTCTCTTGGGCCGTCTTGGGGCTGTATTGGCGCTATCGCTGGTCGTCGCGGAAGGCCTTGAGCAGGGACCGACTGTCCCGGCATTCCTATGGTCCTACCACGAAGTGTTCTTAGAACCCGAAAATGTTCTAAGAACAAAAACAGTGTTCTTAGAACATACACCCGATGCGATAAACCAAGACAGACTCCGCCATAAATGTTCTAAAAACATTTCGTGCAGATCACAACAGGTTCTTAGAGCATTGTTTGGTAAGACTATAGGCACGCCAGGACGCTTCGCCACTGCTTGAGCTATCGTTGGTCGTCGCGGAGGGGGGGCGCGCGCGCGCGCGCGTGCTTTGTCGGGTCGGCGCGGCGCTTGCCTCCCCCATCCCAATTTGAGGCTCTTCGCCCACCCAGAGCATCATCACTCGCAGCGCACTCGTTCTGCCATCCCCTGATACTCCCCGAAGTTATGGTTGCGTCTCCCTGCCAACGGATCGCACGCTACGCGCGATCTCCATATCCTGGAACTGTTACGTATTCGGCCATGGACCCCCTGTCACCCATATGCCTCGGGCGGTCTTCGGCGGTCTTCTGGCGTTCTTCGGCGTGAAAGCTGGATGCTTGCGGAACAAGAGGACCATGATCGAGCGACTAAGAAATCCGCCGACCCTGTCGGCGTGAGTGAGGGGTCTGTCTGGTCCCGTCGACGGGACGACTGTTCTGTTTATCCTTCCCCGTCGGGAGGGAGAGAGCACTCTCCCGCCGTCGGGAGAAGGAGTCCGGGGATTGAGGGAAATCAACCCGTAGTCACGTCAAAGGAACGCCTTTTCCCTTTGTCCCTTCCCAAGGGGGGGGGTCAAATTCGCATCGCCCCCTCTCCCACGCCGGTCCTCCTCCGGTCCTCCTCCCCAGGGGGAGAGGTCCCAGGGGGGAGTCCTTTTCCTCCTCCCTCTCCTCCTCCTCCTCCTCCTCCTTATCTCCGCCTCCTCCTCCTCCTCCTCCTCCTCCTCGAGTCCGCTTCTCGAGTCCGCGCGCGCGAGGGCGCCCCCAGGGGGTCTGCGGGCCCAGCTGGGGCCGAAGCCGCCCCGAGAGGGGACGAAAGGTCCCAAGAGAGCGCGCCGAGGGCGCGGAGCAGCAGGTGTCGGGCCTCACGCTGGCCCCAAATGGCCCAAAATCGGGAGGGGAAAAGGCACACAGACACAATGAATCGACGATCCCCAGGAAAAATATGGAAAAATATGGAAAAATACGAAAAGTGGGGGGGAGGCAAAGACCCAGAGAATATTGGAAAATATACAGAATATGTTTATCTGTGTCTATCTACTTGTGTGTCCCAGGGCCCCTTCACAAAAGATGGCCCCGCGATGCTGCCAAGATGACCGCGACACGGACTGGGATGGTCCAAGCTGGCCCAGCGGACACCAAGGCTGCCCAAGCTGGCCGACCACCAAAATTCTCGAAGGCTCCTAGGATATCAAAACGCATTCAAAACTTGTGTTTACAGCGATTTAGCCTTATCGCCTCTGCGGCCCCAACAAGCTCCTCGGGCGCCTCCAAGAGAGCACTAAGAGGGCCTCAAGACCCCCCGGGCATGAAGTGGCCACACGAGAACCCCAAGGTGACCTAAGAACTGTCCGAGAACGTGGGCAAATCGGCACCAGGGCTGTAAGATGGTCCAGAGATGACCCCCAAGATGGTACGATGGTCGCCCAAAGATTGCCAAAGATAGCCCAGGACAGCCCAACGCATTGCAAGGACACTTCAAGATATGCGAACATGCGTCCCCTGGAGGAGGAGGAGGAGGAGGAGGAGGAGGAGGAGGAGGAGGAGGAGGCAGAGGAGGCGGGAGAGGCGGAGGCGGAGGAGGAGAAGAGGAAGAGGAGGACCAGTGCAAACCCAACAAGCATAAACGATGATGGAGTGAACCCTCCCTCCAAGCTCCCTCTTCATAGGCCCCTGCAACGGTTCATTTCCAGTGATGGAACCGCCTCGTTGGAAGACACCTGTTGAAGACCCTGAAGCATGCCAAAACATAATTCTCGGGATTCCAACGCCACGGATCAACCTGACTGCTGCGTCTTGACGATCCTGAATCGCGCCAGAACGCCATTCCTAGGACTTCAACACACAGAACCACCAGAGCTGTTGCACCCGCATAATCATCCATCCTTCCAAACACACAGTTCCTGGTACGCTGATGATGGGAATCCGTGAAACCCTTACAAAGCTTGCAAACAAATGTGCGCGGCGCTACGGCGAGAGCCATATTTTGAAAAGGCCGCCCTCAATCAGTGCAACTCTTACAAAGTTTGCAACCGAATGTGCGCGGCGCCAAGGCGAGAGCCACATTTTGAAAAGGAGCCACCCTAAATCCGTGAAACTCTTGCAAATTTCTGAAACGAATGTTCGCCGCGCTAAGGCGAGAGCCACATCTTGAAAACGATGAAACCGTGAAACTCTTGCAATTTTTAAGAACGAATATACACAACGCTAAGGCGAGAGACACAATTTGAAAATCACCCGTCGCAAGTCAGTGAAACTCTTACAAAGTTTGCAACCGAATGTGCGCGGCGCCAAAGCGAGAGCCACATGTTGAAAAGGAACCGCCGTCGATCCGTGAAACTCTTGCAAATTCTTAAAACGAATGTGCACCGTGTTCAGGCGAGAGCCACATTCTGAAAACGGCCCGCCCTCCATCTGTGAAACTGTTGCTAATTTTTTCAGCTTCAGAACCACAAGTGGTGAGGAAGTCTCAAGCGAAACGGCCGGCCCGCTCTAAAAACTGGCCTCGGGGTACGACAAGGAAAAAATATTATCATTATTATTGTAAGAAAGAAGAATGGAGGAGCCTCCGGGAAGGCCAACGTGATCGCAAAACCCGCATCGTCGCCGTCGCCGACACCGTCGCCGCCGTCGCCGTCGCCGTAGTTCGCCGTCGGCCGTCTGCGTCGTGGTCGTCGTCGCCGTGTCCGTCGTCGCCGCTGCCGTTTTCGTTGTCGCCGCCGTCGTCTTCAAGGTAATCGTCGTCGTGGCCATCGTCTTCAAGGCTGCCGTCTTCATCGTCGCCATCGTGGTCGTCGTCGACGTCGCCGTCGCCGTCGCCGTCGTCGCCGTCGCCGTCGTCGTCGCCGTCGCCGTCGCCGCCGTCGCCGTCGCCGCCGTCGCCGTCGCCGTCGTCGTCGCCGTCGTCGTTGTTGTCGTCGTCGTCCTCGCCGCCGTCGTCGCCGTCGTTCGTCGTCGGCCGTCTGCGTCGCCGTCGCCGTCGCCGTCGCCGCCGTCGCCGCTGCCGTCTTCGTTGTCGCCATCGTCGTCGTCGTCGTCGCCGTCGCCTTCGCCGTCGTCGCCAGCGGGCCCTCCTCCCCAAACTGGGAGGTCAGACCCCTCCCCCTAAAGGGGGGAGGGGGGGTAACGAAACCTCCCCCACGGCGTCGTCGCCATCGTCGCCGTCGTCGTCGTTGTCGTCGCAGTCGCCGTCGCCGTCGCCGACGCCATCGTCGTCGCCGTCGCCGTCGCTGTCGCCGCCGCCGTCTCCGTCGCCGTCGTCGCCGTCGTCGTCGTCATCATCGTCCGTCGTCGTCGTCGTCCGTCGTCGGTCGCCAGTCGTCGGTCGTCGGCGTCAGCGTCGGCGTCGGCGTCGTCGTCGTGGTCGTCGGTCGTCGTCGCGGTCGTCGTCGTCGTCGTCGTCGTCGTCGTCGTCGTCGTCGCCGTCATCATCGTCCGTCGTCGTCGTCGTCCGTCGTCGTCGTCGTCGTCGGTCGTCGGTCGTCGGTCGTCGGCGTCGGCGTCGGCGTCGTCGTCGTGGTCGTCGTCGTGGTCGTCGTCGTGGTCGTCGTCGTCGTCGTCGTCGTCGTCGTCGTCGCCGTCGCCGTCGCCGTCGTCGTCGTCGTCGTCGCCGCCGCCGTCGCCGTCGCCGTCGTCGTCGCCGTCGTCGTCGTCGTCGCCGTCGTCGTCGTCGTCGTCGTCGTCGTCGTCGTCGTCGTCGTCGTGTCGCCGCCTTGCTCAGGGAGTGGTGGGGTGTCGTTACCCCGACTCCCCTCCCTGCGGGGAGGGGGGGGGGCCCTGGACTCCCCCGACATTTTTCGGGAGCGGAGGTCGGGACCCCCCCGCAGTGACTTTCTTGTGGGCGGGGTTCAGGACCTCCCCGATGATTTTTCGAGGGCCGGGGGGGGGGCGGTCGGACCCCCCCTACCCCCATCTTGTCGGGGAGGGCGGGCTGAACCCCCCACCCTTCCCTGCCAGCAGCTTCAGAAAGCGCTCTCTCACAGATCACGAGGACCGCCTCCTTCTTCGACATCGTTTTCTTCGTGTTCTTTACTGTTCTCATTCGTCCTCCTCCTCTTCTTGTTCCTCCTCCTCCTCCTCCTCCTCATCCTCCTCCTGCCCCTCATCATCATCATCATCATCATCATCATCATCATCATCATCATCATCATCATCATCATCATCATCATCATCATCATCATCATCATCATCATCATCATCATCATCATCATCAGCATCAGCATCAGCATCAGCATCAGCATCATCATCATCATCATCATCATCATCATCATCATCATCAGCATCAGCATCATCATCAGCATCATCATCTCATCATCATCATCATCGTCATCATCATCATCATCATCA